CCGACCCAAACATCGGGACTTCCGACAGTGACTGACAGAATTGAACTTAGCATTTGCAGTAATTTTTTAGATATGCCTATTCACCCCCCCCCCCTCTAGGCATTGTTAGATCATTTCAATATGCTCCAACCAGAGGGGATGCTTTTTGCTACCTAGTATCAGCAAAGGGCCTGGGTGAAACTTATTTCCCACAAAATTATCAATTCAAGGCATAGTCCATTGTATAGTTGTGAGTAAGCGTAACCTTTGCTCTAGGTGAAAGTTCAACTTAACAGTCTCCATCGAAACACTAGTATATCAAACGATAGAGAGAATTGAGAGCATTTCTTATGTGCCTTAGAATTTGGTGGGGATTGTTGAATATTATATAGGTTTAGGCCCATATTTTATTTAATAAATTAATTAATTCTAGGTCCATATTAAGTGTTGTGATACAATATAGTTTTAGTCCCGTATAGGATTTTGACTGATTGTTGACTCAACTTAAATAGGCTACACACGTGTCCACCTATAGAGAAGTTGAAAGAGGATAAAAGGCGTGCCACACGCCTGCGCGCGCCGCTGTCGAGCCAAGGCGAGGCGTGGCGAGCGATGCGTGCGCTGATATGGGTTGATTTTGCCACTTGGGCTAGCTAAGGAAGAGGAAGGGATATATGATGCGTGCGTGACGTGACGTGTGGTGCGCTGATGTGGGTTGGTTTTGCCACTGGGCTAGCTAAGGAAGAGGAAGGGATACATGCGCGATTGAAGAGGAGTTACTTACAGGTCAGTTACCATCCACTACAGTGGCGATTACTCATAATCACTTCAATTGATTTGCCTTCCTAATCTCTCTGTCATTACCTTCCCTCCCGTCTTTCTCTCGCCTAATGTGTCCTCCTGTCGAGTTGCATCCGAGTACTCCACGTCCTATCCTCTGCGCGCACGGAGTTTTTGGGAGAGTAGGCCTCCGAAACCGGCATTTGTATCGGTACACCTGCTGCGGGTGTGTGCAGACGATTAGGTTTTTGGGGAGCGTCTTCGTGACTGCTCGCCGTCCTCTTCTTCCTCAGAATGTCTTTGTCTCCTTCCTGGTGGTGCTTCTTCTTCCTCAGATCGGCTTCATCTACTTCCCGATGGACGTTCGAGGGATGGCACTACGTACATCTTCCAGCATCAACTGTGGTCCGCGACTTCGAGCAACTCACCATGAGTGGGAATGGAGCCACTGGTGCTTTGAGCATGAGTCCCTCCGCTGGGTATATCTCCATTCTCGAATTGGTTAAATTCAATCTTATTTCCGCTATGATCAGTATGTTATTCATGAACATATTTGCTGCTAATCTGAGTAATAGTAAAATTACACACGTACACATATTTGTCATCACTATTTTGCTATTAATTTTCTAGATTAATTTTAACATGAAAATGCCTAAATTCCTAAGTGAACACCAATAGCATCGAAATACCCTTTGGTCGACCATTCTAACTTCATCTGTTTGATTTGTTGCTGTTGAAAATAGAGGTAGACCAATATCAATGGTTGCTTAGTCTTTGCAGTGCAATATGGCCTATTGTATAGTGTTCTCAGGCAGTGTAACCAACCAATGAATACTGATTATCATCGCAAGTGTAAACATCTGTACAAGGAGCACCAAACATTATTTCAATTTATTGGCCCATTAACTATGTGGACAAACTGAAGAAAAGAGACCAACCGGAGCTTTTGTGGCACTTGTACGTGAGTAACCAAAAAAACTACCAAGGTCATCAAGAAGGAACATAGGTAGATGAGGAGGTTGACTGCATTCTATAGGAAACAAATCCTGGTGGTATGCATATATATGGCAAGACCTAACCCATAACTCCAGCTAGTATATTGATTTATCAAAACTGGCATTGGCTAACCAATCTACAGCACACCTAGCATGCATGTGAAGAAACCAAGGAGAGGGGATCGAAGGTGGTTTGACCTCAGGGGGAGTAGACGGAATTAGAGGCGGTTTTACCTTAAGGGGTGGAGACTAGAGGCAATGTCGGAGCAGGGCGAGTTCCTTTGCCCGACGGAGTTAGTGAGGCGGCACAAGATCATGGGGGTGGGGGAGGCTTGGTCCATCCTCCATGTGTGTGTACGTGTGTTGGTTCACTTGGATATCCTTAGTACGTGAATTATGGGCTCTTCAATCCTTGTGAAGTGCATATCTGTTGTCTAGGAGAAACACACAATGCAACCAAAGGTCCAAAGCACTTAGGAGTGTGCTTTCTCAATGTGCACCACGCGATTGGGGCAGATGGGCCCATTAAGGGGGGTCGACTGACCCCCCCCCCTCATTGGCCCTGGGCCCTCCTCCTTCCTTTGGGAGCTAGGTCCACCTATCATCTTGGTTTTGAGTGGTGTGGAGATGTTGTCACGTTGACATATTTCCAGTGGCAGGTCCATCAATCCTTATGCTTGTCATCTCTTTCGTATAGACAAAGCACAACTCCCATCCAATGGGTAGGAATGACTTGGAGTGTGTTTTCTTGCCTCTCACCAGAGATGGACCCTTGTGACCCCACTTGGGGGCTCTACTAACCTCCCAAAATAGTCCCACAACATCTGTTTTTTCCACATTGTCCCTACAATCAAATACAGTGCATGTACATGTAGAACCAAGTAATTTGTACAAAATATGTTTATGCTTTGCTCATTCCCTTATGTTTGTGAGACATTGTTGATGCTTTTGACCATACAAATTCATGTCAACATGCACTTTGGTGGCGATGCATCAAACGGTGGAGGTTAGGGGCGGGTCGTGGCCGGTGAATGACGAGCGATACGGAGGGGTTATGGCTCGGTATTAACATGAGGGGTGATAGTATAGTGAATATCGCTTTGTATTAGGGTGCAATTACAATTCCAAATTCTTAGCCATCTAAACGGCCGCATTCGGAGCTATCCAATACCAAATCAAAATTCTAAGGCTAAATATCAACATCTAAACAAGGCATTATATTTGGATATAATTTTTGAATGTCTCGATACACTATATTACAGGTCGGATGGAGTAATCACTTGAGAGGTCTGAACCTCTCTAATCAATGTCATGTTGATCGCATGGAGTTTTAGATAGTTTACACTACAAAATTTATTGCCTCACAGTGGTCACCTAGAAAGTTGATTATCTTTATCTAGCCAAGTAATAACCATACAGAAATCTTATTTGGTTTGGTGCCTAGATCCAAGAACAATAATGTCAAGTAACCATAGAGAAGCTCTATTTGTTTTTTTATTCAATTAGATTCTAGAAAATTCAAACTATTTCTAATAAGGAATATCATTATAGTCTTAAAAAGACTAGATAAAAGCAAAATATTTGTAATAAAGAAAATTTTAGAAAACAAAAGACTAAAACAAAGTTAGATTTCAACAGTGAGGTTGTGTTTGGTTGATGTCCTCATCAGTCAATCTGATATCAGCAATGAAAATCAATGCTTATTGTTGCTCCTTAGCTTATGCATATTTTTCAGAGCGAGAACCAAACGTCTTTAAGATCTAATAATGCCTAAATATTTATATATATTATATTATGTTTACTACTATTACTACTACTATTAATATTATATTATTCTTTTCTATTAATATTATTATATTTATTTTATTACTATTAATTTTTTTATTACTACTACTATTGTTATTACTAGAATAAATATATTATTATTATTATTTTTTATTCCTCGCTCTAAAAATGCCGTTACTGTTAGATTCTGCTCCAGGCTCAGCCGCTCAGGCCGGCCCTGTACTTACGCACCCGACCTGCCTGTAGCTGTTGTATGCTGCAACCCTACCCTGCCTTTTGTTCTTCCATCGCCCCCAGCGTGTGCGCAGCCCCCAACCCCCGCGACTGGGCCGGCCGTCGCTAACGCCCTACTTCGGCCCCTTCGCCGGCGACGAGCACCACCAGGTACGCCCTCCCCTCGGTCTTCCCTTCCTGCTGTGCGAAGCCGTGCGCCCAAACCCTAACTATTCGTAGGTACGCCCTCCCCTTGGTCTCCCCTTCCTGCTGTGCGAAACCGTGCGCCCAAACCCTAACATACTATTCGTATTCGGATCTGAACTATGCATGTATTATGCCTGCTAACTTCGATTGCTTTTGCAAATAATTAGCGGGTGTTCATGTGTACACCCAGGTCCGCCCCTGGCTGCGATGCCCTTCTGTGTTTCCGGCAGCGCCTCGCGCGATTTGTTTGACGGTGAGGGGTATAAGGGTGGTAGCTTTGGATATATCTGGATAGGTTCTTCGATTTTTGCTCCGTTTGTGGTTTCCTCATGGAATCTGCGATTTAATGAGGTGCCTTTTGGTGCCCTATGCAGTGAAGTGCCTTGATTTGATATGTTAGTCAGTTATTAGTGTTTGCTACTGCCTACTTCGGTGTAGTGTAGTGTTCCATTTGTGACCAGTCTTGTCAATGTCATCAGCCATGATAATTTATGGCTGACAGTTGGCGTTCTTTATCAATTTGTTGTGCATTATGACCATTGTATTGTTCAGTAAATGTCAGAAGCCAAGACAATTTTTTTGTATTATACAGAATGAATAGTTATGTTTCATCAAAGCACATCATGTAATCATTGCTTTCACTACTAGTGCTTTGCCCCTGCGTTATGCTCAAACTGTATAATAGAATGTAAGCAACCAACTTAATACTGGGAGTTCTATAGTACACTTAATGTTCAGTAGTCCAGGAACTGTAGCTTTTGCAGTAATTGAATTTCTTGTTTAATTGGTTTGATTTAATTTTTCTTTAGTGACCTAGCATTATTTGTTTCAGATACAAATATTAAGGTTATTATTAATTGATCTAGGTATGTAGCCATTTACGGGACTCCATAGGCTTCAATTGATGATTTAGTCTGTTTATCTTTTTTTGTCAAATGGAACGAATTTTCTACTTGGCCAAGAAACAATGTGATGAGAATAAATTTTTGAGGTCTGATAATGTAGTGCCTGATTTGGTTTTTTCTTCCGTTGGCAGTCACCATGTCATCGTATCCTGTGGTAAACAACCGACCAATCGATCAGTGGAGAGTTACTGATCTGAAGGATGAGCTCCGTAAAAGGAAGCTTCCTGTTAAAGGTTTGAAAGAGGAACTCGTTAGGCGACTCTTTGACTCCATTCAGAGTGAAAGAGAAGCTGAAGCTGAAGAAGCTGATGAGGATGTGGGTGTGAATGTGGATGATCAGTTACCTGATGCCAATGCTAGTGAGGAAAATACAGTTACCGTCACAGAAGTTCACCAGGAAACTGTGGTTCATGTCACTCAGCAAGTTGAAGTTCCTACCACCGAAGTTGGTCAGGAATCCGCTATTTCTCCCACTAGAGGGGCCCCTAGTGTTGATCTCGAAGAGGCCTCAACAGCCAAAGGAGAAGTACCTGAATCATTTGCTGGAGGAAATTTGACATCTGAAGAAGTGCAAGTGCATACTAAAAGTGCTAATGAGCCTGTTCATGAGAAGACCACAGACGTTGACACCAATGAGGCAGTCATTGTCAATGATGCAATCGATGTGAATTCAGACTTGACCCCTGCTGAAGTCAAGTTTCGTGCTATGGAAGCAAGCAAAATTGAAGAACAGGATTTTTCCCCAGCACCTGTAGATGCCTTAACTTCAGATGCTGTTGGTCCTATGGATACTGATGTTGTCACAGCTGCAACTTTAGATGCTGGTCCTATGGATACTGATGCTGTCACAGATGAACCAGTTAGCAACGATGGGGAGAAACTGGTACCCAAGGATAATTTGGGTAACAAGGTGTCAATGTATGATGAAGAGCAGAATAATTCTGGTACCATGAACGAGGACTGCAAGCCCATCATATCAAAACCAAATAATCAGGTACCTGAGGTTAGTCCAGATTTAGGGTCTCAAATTAAGTGTGAATCGATTTCTAGCGATAATCTATCAACTAACAAAAAGAATAATATAGAAGATAATTTAAATGCTAATAATTTTGATTTAGAACTAGAGGTTCAGCCGAAGATGGTCGAACCATCATCCGGCATTACTTCATTAGGTGGAGATTTGCAGCCATTGGATGATGACAAAGAGCTGGTTAAGAACCAGACATCTTTGGAAGACTTAGATTCCACAGATAATGTGGACTCATACAAGAAAGATAGTCCTGAAGCTGGGTCTCCAGAGAAATTAAATCTAGACAGGAGTTCAGGTGATGAGTCAATGGAGGAGGATGTTGCCGAAATTAAACAAGTTGAGTCCAATATGAAATCTGATGATCTCGGAGGAAACAATGAGCTTAACTCAGAAGATGTGAAAGAGGTGATCCTCCCTGATTCTGTTGTGGAGCCTTCCAAGGAGGTTATAGCTGAAGAAAAATCAGCAGCTTCAGCAGAAAAGAGGAAACTTGAAGGTTTGTTTCTCTCCCTACAAGTTCTTTGTTCTTTCTGCTTGATTTTCTCCTGAAATATCTTAATTATATCCTACAGTTTCTTACTCTGCCTTCAGCGCCTTCAACACATAATTCAGTGTGCATGCTTTATAGTTTTACCTGGCATAAAGTACCCATCCTGAGTCATAATCCTTACAATTATAGTGAGCATGCAAATGTTGCACACATGTTTATCTTAGTAGCTTTGCTTTGATATGCAATGACTTTGCAGCCATTAGGAACCATTAGGCTTCCATTGGAATTTGAAAGTTCATGGGGATGTCAACAGATCATCCAAAAGGAAACTGCCTAGAGTAATCACATTGCTTCTCTAGTAGAATTTGGTGTCTTCAAATGTTTTATTTCCTTTTAGTGCTCATTATATTCACAAAAACCAATTAAAGCCTTCAATGTGGGATAATTTGGTCTACAGTTATATAATGTACACCTTGCATATTGATCTTAGAATTATTTTAATGTTTGTTTTTTCTTCTCATTGTTGGTTCCATCTGTTATAAATTTGCTTTAGCGTGAATGTAACAAGCATATGATAAGCTGGACATCAAGTTTTTGAAATTTAGACATAGGTATTGAATGTGCAAGTTAAATGCTAACTCCTGGTTGAATGCACAGCTGAAGGTGTTACAAACACTGAACCAATCAAGCGACAACGTCGGTGGACTGCAGACGTTGCCAAAGTTCCAGAGAGACAATCATTGAATCAAACTGGTCCTGAAACTCCTAAGGATATTTTTCAGCCTGCTTTCAAACGATCTTTTGGGAGGTCTGATTCAACAGCAAGTGTAGATTCTCCTAAGGAGCGGATTGGTGAGTCATTGGCTCCTTCCAGGACATTTGTTTCTGTATCTATAAACTTCATGAGTGACTATCTGTTAACCTATTTTTTTTTATTTGTGTTGTAGTACCACCTTCTGAGAAACCAGCCACAACTTCTTTGAGAATTGACCGATTTGTACGCCCATTTACCCTGAAAGCTGTGCAGGAGCTTCTTGGTAAAACTGGATCTGTACAAGACTTCTGGATGGACCATATCAAGACTCATTGCTATGTAACAGTATGTTTTCTTTGTTAAACCAAGACTTGTGCTATCTTAACTTTGTTGTTTATCACATCATCTTGAAATGAAAAATCGAAGCTGCCATTCAATCTCATTCATGAAGAAAATTCAGGCTGCATGGGATGAATAACATTTTGTACTCCATTTTTAAGCTGTTGGTGTTTGATAAGTAATAACCATGCTAAACATATTTGCCAAAGCATTCAATTATTGTGATAAAGAAACTGGAACAATACATTTGAATATTTGATTGTGGCCTTATGGAATTGAATTTGTGTAGTGCCAACACTGAGACTTTTAATTTAAAGTGTTTCACTGCCTGTTTATGCTCTGACTATGTTCTATGCATATTCTGACTGCACTGTTAAGCTGACTTTGCCTCATTGCACTCCAACTTTATAGTTTTCTTCGGTGGATGAAGCTGTGGCTACTAGGGGTGCTGTTTACAACCTACAGTGGCCCCCAAACAATGGCAATAAGTTGGTTGCCGAATTTGTTGATCCTCAGGAGGTGAAGCTCAAGGTTGACCCCCCTCCCTCGCCAGCTGCTCCTGTTAGCCCAGCTGCTGCTGCAAGGGCACCTCCTGTTCAACAGACTCAGGGTAATCAAAGTGTGCCACGCCAGGCTGCTACACCAAAAGAGCAACTGCCACCTCCACCTCCCCTTGCTAAGCCCCCTATCGCTGACCCGGCAGCATTAGCGAGGGAGAGGCTTCCGCCCACTCCAAAGAAGCCAGAGCCTCCTGTTGTGACACTTGATGATCTCTTCAAGAAGACACAGTCCTCGCCGAGGATCTATTATCTGCCTTTATCAGAAGAGGAGGTGGCGGCCAAGCTCACCGCGGCACAGGGAAAAGGAAAAAAGGAATAGGAGGTGTCAGCTTCCATTTTCCGCTAGCTTGGAGTTTGTTGCGGTATGCTTAAGTTCTGTTGCAATGTGCTGTACTATTCTTTTTTATCCGAATAATGGTGAGTTTATCTCATTCAATTGCCCTCCCTCAGGAACATGGCGTGGGGTGGTCACAGCAGCTGACAGGTGCTACTGCTGCAGACCATTTGAAATAACCGGCGCGGTGACTGCTGCGGCAAAAGAGTAGTTGTAGGGCTGTTCTCTGGAAAAGGACTAGTGTAGGAGCAGCAGCAGCTTGTATTTCCTAAAGAGATTATTAGTTTTGATTGGGTCTCCGACTAGAGTGTCTGCTGAAGTTATTTGAGCTACATTAAATGTCTGAGGTACTTGGTTTAATCTATGCTGTCAGGTACTGTTAAAAGATACTGGTTTTAGTTGTGAGTCTATGAAGGATACTGTTACTGTTGAGATGCCTTGTCTTATTTTAGTCTTTGCCGTCGGGATTGATTGCTGACCGTGAGTCTCGACATGAGCAAGTTGGTGCTGCCGGTTTACACTACACTGGTTGATACTATCTCTGTCTTAAAATAATGTGATTAGGTGTATTTTTTATTAAAGTGTCTAAAATTTGATCAAATATGATACTCCCCCGTCCACAAAAAAAAATGCAATTCTTATATTTCGAGAAGTATATGAAAATATACTAACACTCATGAGACCAAATAAGTATCACTAGATTAGTTATAGAATATATTTTTATAATAAATTTATATTGAGACCTAAATACTAATACTATTTACTATGAACTTGGTCAAAGTTGGGCTACTTTGACTGGCATGTTTTTCATAATTACATTCTTTTCTGGATGGAGGGAGTAAAATACAACATTTTTATGCTAAATAAGTATATTATAAAAATATATCTCATGAAAAATTTAATCCTACTTATTTGATGTCATAACTATTTATATTTTTATATATAATTGATCAACTATATATTTAAAAGAAGGACACGGCTATTGCGGTCGCGTAGAACGACCCCCGCACGTGTTACCCACTTCCACATGCGTAGTCAAGCGTCCGCACCCCGACAGCCTATTGCATGCGCGCGCCTGCGGCACGACAGGCCTGCAGCCTACTGCATGCACCCAAGCCCGTGTTCAAGCGGCATGGAAATCAATAAAACATAAATACTTTATTTAAAATGGTATAACTTTTAAATGATGTATCCATTTTCAATTCCGTTTGCACCGAAATATTCTTACGTGACGAGACGAACAAAACTAGACCCTCATTTATCTATGTTTTGAAGAATTTTATTTTAGTAGCAATTTATGCGTAAAATGTGCTAGGTGATTTATGAAAAAGTTGTTACCATGAAATACTAAATTTGCTATTAAAAAATATACTAAAGTTTTTACATGATATGAGCGCATAGATTGTTGTCATGAGAATATATTATATATTATTTACATAAAGGTACTCACCCCTAAAAAAGAGTAACGGGCCCAAAAACAAAATAATCTGCAACCCGGAGGGGCAAATTATTAAAATAAACATTACATAAGCTGCCAATTAGGAGGACAAGTTATTATACAACACATTACAAAAATCCAAAAAACATGACTCGCTGCCAACTGGGGGCATTTATTAAAAAGTGAGGGTAGCGATACAAAACAACGCAAGCTGCAATCTTAGGACAAATTATTAGAACAAGCATTTGCATAAGCTGCCAACCAAAGGAGCAAGTTATTATAAAACCCATTTATAAGCCGGGAAACATGACTAGCAGTTACTTGAAGAGATATTTATTAAAAAGACAAGAGTAGCAACCCAAATAATACAAGTTGCACTTTGAGGGGCAAATTATTAAAGAAGCATTGCATAAGGTGCCAACCTTGCGGGTAAGCTATTATATAACTAATAGGTAGGATATAGGAATACATTCAAACATAAAAGGCAGACTACAAACAAAAACTAATAATACTTGACTGAAAATTGAAACTATTATATCTGAATGTAGGACGCATATCAAAAGATGGATTCTCGCATGCCTCACCTTAAAATTTTAGTGGACGGAACTAAAATTTGTTAGAAATGATTCAAAGTGATATGAAACTATTTTACACCAATTTGCGCTGCAACATCGTGTGGCCCATCTGCCTTCATATGAAAAGTCTTTTTAACTAAAAGTTTGTGTTTATACCTTAAATTTTTAACGAATTTGACTAAAATTTATTGAAAACAATTTAATATAGGCCTCGTTCGCATGCCCTTAAACCCGGCTTAATCCGCTTCTTTTTTCATCCGGAGACCATATTTTTCTCTCACAGATTCATCTAAATTCATCCATATTCCTCTAGCATAATAGAAGCTACAGTGTGCCAATTAGCACCTCAAAACGAACACGTGAGTCTCACATCGAGTTAGGGTGAGTTTGCATCATCGAATCGGTTGCGTTTCTGGATGGAATCCGGAGAAACGGTGCCAAACGCTACAACTCATAAACGTTTCTGGCTAGAATCGTTCCGGTGGTTCCGTACTTTTTTGCCTGCAGGAGAGAAACCGCTCCACCCCGGTTTCTACCGTTTCGTTTCTGCTCTAGCATACACACTAGCGGGTGCTTTTTTCTGGTTATCTTTTTTTAAGTGCAAAAGGTTAAAATAAATTGTATCAAAGATATTCTTCGTCTACAAAAATTTTTGATTTTTTAAAACATATTCTTATTTATATATTTTTTTCAAAAAAAAATTTTTTTTTGGAATCAGAATCCAGCCTACCAACCAAACGGTTTGTTAAAATGATTATGGTTCACCATCTGAAACAATAGACACAAAAAAAGCACAATGTATATCAAACCTAATTTTCTTTAAGAGAACCCAGATCCGCGTTCAAACATTTCTCCTCCTCACAACAACACCATAATACACTATCTACAACATCTAGTCAACCCATTTCAAAACAATAGACACAAAAAAAGCACAATGTATATCAAACCTAATTTTCTATTAAGCCCGACCCAACCCACTATCGGCAATCGTTGACTGTGATGACTTTGTAAATCTGCTGTCTCGGTCTGTTAGAGGTGTGTGCACGTCTGTACTATGTAATTGAAAAAAATTAAAATAATAAAAAGCCTTAAACTACTTCAGCTGAACGATGTTTTTCTCTTACAATAAATCAATATAATTTCAAAGATAAGCTAAATTTTAGTGAAGCGAAAGTTCTAAAATATGAAGGCATCAATTGATCTGAATGTATCCGACGTGTAAGGAGGTGTCTAAAATGTATCCGACGTGTAAGGAAGAAATTAGAAAAAAAAATACCGGACTTCGATCGGGGGTATTGAACCCGACGTGAATCGAACACGCAACCTTCTGATCTGGAGTCAGACGCGCTACCATTGCGCCACGGATCCGGTCTTGCTCTCTTTAGAAATATAATTTATATTACTTGTTTTAATTGTTTAATGATCTCCGTTTTGTGTTTCCTATCTCACGTCCACACAAATAGTTTTTTCAATGTAATAAGACAAAATGAAAAAAATACCGGTTTGTGAGCTGTTTGTTTCTCAACAGCTGTCACCAGATAACTCAATAAGGAAGTTTGCCTTTGATCGAAACCCGACGTTGATATTTGGGAAAAATATATATTAGAACCCGCGGCATTCAGTTTAATTTTTCACCGCATTACCATTAAAACCTGATCCGCTTGCTCCAAGAAATCCATCGATATTACGCGTTTTCATTGGCGGCGTGGTCTTAGCATCTGCCGTTCAGCGTATAGTGTTTTTAATGTAATAAGACACAGTAGGTTTGTGAGCTCAGGGCGCTGTCGTTGCAGCGCCACCTTTGAGATATTTGGGAGTATATGGTGTTTCACACTATCGTGGATAAATATAAGTGCAGAGATACAGAAAAAATAAACTTTATGCTACCGATGCTGGAAAAGGTCTAAAGGAGGTGATGAAAGCATATCTCAGAAATTCATCAATTGTAGATTTTCTGGAAGCATATTTCAACATAAGAATACTGGTAAAACGATAGAAATAAGGGATATCAAGGTCTGCAATTTTGGGCTTGCAAAGATGGTTTTATTCAGAGCATTTGTAGCACAAGCTGAAACTACACATCTATTCTTCTGATGCTTGCACAGCAGCTATGGTGATCCCTTTGGACTTCAGTCTCTTCCTCATCAAGAATCAATCCGTGGAAAAAGTATGCAGCGGCCTGGAAAGAAGGAAAACAAAAACAAAATTACACTATTTAAATGTACACGGATCAAAGGATAATTACCTATTAGGGAAAACATTTGTGCTCTGGCCAGAAAATTAATTAAGTGGCTTGTCAATGATTATAGATGCAATTTAGAAACCAAAGACATAAGAGCAATGACATAAAGAAGAGGGATACATCATACATGGTATCTGAAAGTGAAGTGAGCCATACCGTGAAGAAAGCAAAATTGGAAGTGCAAGAGCAGGACATTTAATTGAGGAAAATTTTGAAGCAATACAAGGATGCAAACCTTTGGCGCCTACTGAAGGATGGAATCGATCGACTAATCAAATTATCAAAGGCTGGCAGCTTAATGCTGAAGACCATGGAGTTTTGGTGCAAAATCTTGTTACTTATCGAGCAGCAGCAACACGGCTGGATTTGCTCGCTCCCGGGCCATATCTGTACTGTATATGTGCCTCGTCCAAGTCATTTCTACCTGCCGCGCCCTTGCATCGAGCTACTGCCATTGTCAGCCTGCCACTGTAGCGAGCCGCTGTCGCGCGTCTCTCGATCTGGTCGAGAGGTTCTTCCCCAGTCTGCAGATCGACCAACACAAGCCCTCGATTGTTCCCGGCCATCAGCAGGTCGCTGCTCACCTCCGCGAGTACCGCGTGCCTCTGCGCGGCTGCGCCCGCGCTTATCCATGGGCGTCGGGTGCGGCTCGAGGATGATCTTAATCTTGCGTCGCTGTGGAAGATGTCAGGTGATCAGGTCCCGGAGGAGTGCCATGGAAGAGGCTGGCCGCCGGCGGGCGGCGCGGCTTGTCCGCGCATGCTCGCTGTCATGGCCAGAGCTTACATCAGAGGTAGGTCTTGCCTGTTAGCAATTAAGCCTGTTGCCGGATATGTACAGTAGGCTAGCTGTTTTCAGTTTTTCATTCGGTTAGCGTTTCAGACTTTCAGATAGAGTAGTGTAGCCGCGCACGCCGTACCCGTCGTGCGCGATCTTTCCGCGGCACGTCCCAGCGATTTGGGATGGCACTTCGTGAGCACGAACGTGCCGCGTTTCTCTCGGCCACCATGGCCATGTATTGCTCTTTATATTCTGCAAGTTAAACAAGAAAACGCTGCCAGTTGATACCACCAAAATAATGTCTTCCAGAGTTCATCTTCCAGTTCACGTGAGAGTGAGAGAGAGCTCGCCGGCGATTCACATCGCGGCAGTTTTCCAACATTGCCGGGGTCTGGGGGCGAGGTTGGGCTCAGTTGACGCAGCGGGAGTAGCGCAGGTTGAAGACTTGCGCGCTCCTGGCAGCGAACCCAAGCCTATGCACGACCGCGGTTACGCCTGTTCTGGACATATGACGTACTTTCTAGATTAGTGGCTGCACATGCAAAGGAATCAATGGCTGTAGATGTACCTCGAATTAGATCAAACGGTGAAGAAAATATAGATGACGTGGCCACATATGATGCCGGAGACGTGGCAAAATGTGATGCCGGAGAGCATGGAGTCAAATTCGTCAAGTAAAAGATTTCCTCCCAGCTCACACTAGGCTTTGCTACTCGGTTGGGCCAGGGTCGGCTAGGATTGCGGCCTAACCCGAGTGGGTCACCACGGCCTAGATAGGAGGAACCTGTGTTGTGTGCGTCTATGTGACCTCGCTCGTGGAAGCAGCAAACCCGAGAGGTCCACAGGAAGCGACGCCGCTGCGAGTCTGCGACAGGAGCACCAGGTGGACTGGTGGCGCAGGCGACGGAGAGAGATCCGCCGGAGCGGAAGACAAGGGTCAGCAACGACGGCGACGTGCCAGCCGTCCCCTCGGGCGCCGACGATACTGCTAGGAAATGAGTTAAGTAAGAGTCATGCGCAATAGAAAAGGCATGATAACTTATTGAGATCTTTTTACTCCATGTTTGCCTAAAAAGTGCCCCAAAGTGAAGAAAAGATTGTTCACGGTACGGTCTCACAGGACAAGATGCGACATATGAGCATGACATAGAGTTTAGGACAACATACGAAAAGAATGATCTCAATTTTTTATTTCCTCAAAATAGTTGTTGGGCCGGTGTTTTTCTTTGTTCAGAGGAAGTTTCCATTAATCCAGTTTAACCTCAAGAAAAACAATTGTGGGCGTGAATAGAAGCTGCATGATCATCCACGATTGGATCAATCTTCAATACCGTCACACGCACAAGTGTGAAGAGTCCCAGATCAGGAACCCCATGCATCCTCCTGCACGGCTGCACCATGAGTTTCTTCTGAACAAAATTCAGGGCACCATCACAGTTTGCTCTGTTGTTGGACATGAGTAGTAGCCTCCTTGACAAGCGGCATTTTTATTGAGCTCCGCCGCTGTTTGTCAATCACCAGTTCACTTCACCGTGCAATGTCCGCATCAAAATAAACTAACCAACACCGACTATGCGATCAACAACCATACGCATCAAGTGAAGCGACGCACACTTGTACTCTCAGCTCAGCTTGTCGTCACGTTTTTTTTTCCCAATCTCTTGGCTTCTCGGCGATATATACCTGTACATACACTGCACACCACAGTTCATTGGATGCCCAAATCCTGGTACATCGCGTGTCGTAGCAGATAGATGCAGCTGATCGCTTTGCTCCTGCTGTTGCCACTCCTCGTGGTGGCCGCCTACCTGACCGCGGCGGCTGCCCCCCGTCGCCAGCGCTCGCGGTGCTACCTCCTGGACTACGTTTGCTACAAGCCGCCGGACGACCGCAAGGTGTCCACGGAGATGCTCAGCGCCGCGAATGACCGCAACGAGCGGCTCAGCGTGCCCCTCCGCCGCTTCCTCCTCCGCGTCGTCCTCCGCTCGGGCCTCGGCGAGCACACCTACGCCCCGCGCACCGTCATCGCCCGCCGCAAGCACAGCCCCACCCACCAGGACTGCCTCGACGAGATGGACGCCTTCTTCCACGCCACCGTGGCGGAGCTGTTCGCCAGGGCCAGGCAGACGAGCCTCGGCCTCGGCCCCCGTGACCACCTGGCGCCGTCGCTCGCGTCCCGGATCGTGCGCGCGCACGGCATGTGCGACGACGTCTGTATGATTCTGACACAATACACGGCCTAATGACCTACTCCCTCTGTTCCATTATACGTGTCGTTTTAGCTTTCTACCAGGTATAATAAAAAATCCCTAAACCTAGATATAGGGTGTGTCCAAATACATGGAACATGCTATGAATCTAGACATCCAAATACACCGCCAGAACAACACATATAATGGGACATAGGGAGTATAGGATGGTATCGCAACACTTGAGTGGACATTCAAGTTTAACAGAAATATTAGGTCGTTTTTTTTTTATTTTTTAGTTGAGAAATTTTTAGATTTTTGGATAGAAGGATTATTTTATTGATTATCTTTTTTGTCCTTGTCTTTAAAATTTGTTAGGTACTATTATAAACCCACTTAGTCTGTAGTAGCTCTTTCATGTAGTTAACTTTTGTTGTTATATCTGAACTCAACCAAAACCCAATGAGGATTTGTTTTCAGAGGGCTGGCTGGAAGAGAAATTCGAGAGATGGAAAATCGGCGATTCGAGAAATTCGAGAGCGTCCAAGGATCTGTTCGCCAAGCAACAACCAAAGCACCTCCGGGCTCCGGCCGAGGCAGAACCCAGAAGACGACGGGAGGGGAGAAAGCAGTAACAGTAATCGAAGGGAGAACCTGTAGCCGTGACGAGGCAGTTCTCCGCCGACGGCATTTGAGGTCGCCGCGGAACGGAGCTGCGGAAGCCGCCTCAGCCCTCCTCAGGGTCAGGGCTAAGGGAAAAGCGACCGAGTCGAGCACGGAAAGGCCCGGCAGGACCTGCGTGGACATCTTCTGGGTCCAACACCGGCCTGCCTGGAAGCGGCGGCAGCTCCCGTAGGCCCAGCTGGGCTCAGAGGAAGCGAGCGCCAAGCCCAGCAACGTTCCATATCGTCGTCGCGCATGGGGCCGGGTATTAATGGTCCGCACACCATGCGTGGAGTATTCAATGATTCATGATCATCTACGGCATGCATGCGATGATTGCGTGGATCTCACTCAGCCTGCTGCATGCGAGCTGCGAATGATTTCATATACAGGACGGGACTTGAATATCCAGCCGAACACGCCCATGATTCCTGATCATCTACGGCATGCATGCGTGATTGCGTGGATCTCACTCAGCCTGCTGCATGCGAGCTGCGACCGCATCATCATATACAGGACGGGACTTGAATATCCGGCGGTCAGCACGCACTTGTTCGCTACAGTTCTACACAAAGAATGGGCTGGGTATGAAAACGATGTTTGTGTGCGCTAGGAAATGAGCGTTGATTTACAACATCGTACGACCTTCCTTTCTCCTTACTACGTACGGAGTACTACCAATCAACCAAACTATAATATACTTCCTCCGTTTTAAATTATAAAAGACATTCTAAGAATCTCAGAGAGTTAAAGAATATCAAGTTTGACCAAAATTATAAAGAAAATTATAAAGATTTATAACATCAAATAAGTATATTATAAAAATATAATTAATAAGGAATCTAATGATACTTGGTTGACATCGTAAATGTTATTATTTAAATTTGGTCAAATTTCATATGCTTTGACTCTCCAAGATTTTTAGAACGACTTATAATTTGAGATGGAGGAGTAGAAAATAATCAATCGGATAGTTGGTTCTTACTGAGACGACACAAAACGTACTATACATAGCACACCACCACAACACACACATTATGGGAACAACCCAATCAGAATTTCACATATCCATACGTGAATGACACTCCGTCGGTCCGGCAACATAAAACGTATTTTCGAACAAGAAAAAAAAAATCCTCTAATGTAGATTTTGACCATTGGTTCTTCATTAATTATATGGTCCAGTCAACTGCGTCAATCAACGTCATCTTAAAACTTGTTTAAGGGCATGTACAGCGCGTCGGTTTGCGTCGTCTGCATCGTGCGATTTTTACAGAAAGAACCCTCGCGCGTAGCTCCCAAGGCGAGGCCGTCGTCTCGCGAGACGACAGCAACGGGCTCGTGCTCCCAGGTATACTCGCCGTAAGACGCCGCGGTCACAGGTCGTCGTCTCTAGGCGACGAGGTGCGGGATCCACTGCGGCACTCAGGCCACCACGCGCGGGAGTCGCTGGGCCGTCGGTCTCGAGCGCCGCTGGCCGCCACACGCGAGCGCCGCCGGGCAGCCGCGGGCGTTGTCAGGCCACCACACGCGGGGGTCGCCGGGCCGCCGGTCGCGAGCGCCGCCCTGCTCCGGCGCGCTTGGGTTGGCCATCCGGCGCTCTGAATTTGTTGCTGCAGATCGACATGCTGCAGAAGTATGGAGAATTTTTATTTTTTAATCATTCTTTATTCAACATTTTAATAATAACCGTTCCAAAAAAAAATTCAGATATGACCCATTTCTCGTGTCAGTTCCGCTGCTGGCGTGACTAAACAACGCTGGCACGGCATCATCTGCCATGTTCGACGGCGTTTCTGACGTGGAAAAGTCTTGTCGCGTCACTGGTGGCGTGACAGTATTGTTTTGTCGCGCCACCGGGAGTGACGTAACAGGACTGAATTTTCAAAAATCATAACTCTTCGATATGACATCAGATGAAGATGATTTTTATATGAAAATTGTAGACCTCGACGAGATCTACAACTTTTAAGTTTTGAGTTTTTTTTCGTTTGAGGACGTTAAGATGCTCAAACAAATAATATAAAATTTCAGCACCATAATAATCGCGTACCAGCGCTTGCCGCATTTAAAAAATAGTATCATTTTGAGATCTACAAGTTTATAGTTTTGAATTTTCATATTTGAGATCGTTAACGTACTCTAATAACTAATATAAAGTTTTAGCAACATATTAATTCTATATCAAAGCTTATCTTTTAGAAAAATCGTATATTTCTTATTTGATGTCACATAAAAATATTTTTTTAAATGAAAGTTGTAGACCTCATTGAGAGCTCTAAATTTGATATAAAATGTACTTTCTTTTGAGAGAATACAAAAACGATATTATTTTTCTAATGCAACAGGCGCTAGTACGTGATTATTATGCTACTGAAATTTTATATTATTTTTTTAGCATCTTAACGACTCCAAATGTTAAAACTCAAAACTACAAAGTTGTAGATTTTATTGAGGGTTACAACTTTCGTGTAAAAAATATCTTCATTTGACAACATACAAAAAAAGATATTATTTTTCTAATACGACAAGTACTAGTACGCGGTTATTATGCTCCTGAAATTTTATATTATTTTTTAGATTCTTAACATCCTTAAATGAAAAAAATTCAAAATAACAAAGTTGTAGATCTCATTGAGGGCTACAATTTTCATATAAAATTCATCTTCATTCGACGTCATATTAAATAGTTATGATTTTTTAAAGGTTTGATGTTATCACGCCACTCCCGGTGGCGCGACATAACAGTACTGTCACGCCAGCGGGAGTGGCGTGACAGCGTTTTTCACGTCGGAAATGCCGTCTAACGTGGCGGATGTTGCCGCGCCATTGCATGTGGCGCGAGAACGTTATTTGGTGGCGACAGCCAAAAGACTTAGATTCACAAAAAAAATTTAGGAACTATTATTATCAAAACATTAAATAAAAAAAAATTAAAAAAATCCTAGAAGTATACACTAGCGTATCTTATTCTTTGCAATTTGCACTGTCTAAGATCCTCGCTCTACTGGGATGCATGTTGCAGAAACCGTATCCTTTGTTTGTTAATTTATGCAATCTGGTTCCTTTCCAGGGGAACACACACCTTTCACATTATATATATAAAAAAATAAATATTTGATGGTTTTAAAAAGGTGTAATGATAATTATTTTACTTTTTGTTTAGTCTATTTTGTAACGATGAATAATCTATTTTGTATCAACTATCAACACAATGGTATATATGAATGATATTTATAATCGATCATAATTATATTCAAACATTAAATAACTTATTGATAGCTAAGTAGACAACAGTTGTACGTGGGTTATACCAGTTGTCTATTTAGGTGTCTGTGCTGTAAATCTCAAAAACTTACAGTGGGTTGTACATGCCCTGAGTGTGAATCAATTGAGTCGCAACCATTTGTACATCGGATATGTACATGATTTGATTAGTTTTTTTTTTGTCAAAGTTTGTAAAGCTTAACTTTTCCAAAGCAAAACATACTTAGCATTGATGGTTGGAGACGGTACATCACGAGGAAAAATACGATTTAAAGCATGTGCAGAATTTGCTACTGATATATTCCACGGTGAATCTTCTAATGGCAATTCTTCTATATCGTAAATAATACTTCCTCAATTTTAAATTATAAGACGTTTTGGTTTCCTAAATTTATAGCTTATGTTATGTACTTATATATATAATATGTCTAAATATATAATAAAAATAATGTATTTAGAAAACTAAAACGTCTTGTAATTTGGAACGGATGGAGTAGTATTTCTTTCTTGTTATATATAGAATCGTTCGATGTTATATTATTTCTTTTCTTGATGTAGGATTGATCAAATCTGAGATGTGCATGTAAAAAGAGTTAATCTGATGATACTATATTTGACCCTCGCTCTCCTGAATTTTCAAAGTGATACTACACATAAATCAACTACTACTATAGACCACTAATAGATCTCCGATTTGATAGGCCACCTAATCGCAATGATTTGCAGCTGGATGCACGTATTATCTGACATATTATGTTGGTGGCTGTTTCCAGTTTGTGGACAGACGGTGAAAGACAGACCTTTTAATGGAAGGGAGAAGAACGACCAGATCGAATAGTCTGCGTCATCCAAATAATAAACTGATTTATATCGAAACTGGTTTAGCAAATGCACAGCCGGATCCGTGGCGCAATGGTAGCGCGTCTGACTTCAGATCAGAAGGTTGCGCGTGTTCGATTCACTTCTGGTTCAAAACCCCGAACGTTGTCCGGATTCCTTTTTTGCTTTTTTTTTTCCTTCCCATTTTCGTAGAAGTGCTACTTTTTGGCCCATTTTCTTGTGGTTTTCTCAAAAGAGGGTTTGGCAAAGACCTGCATATCTCGTGACGTTCTCAGCCTGAGCTT